GGGGGGGATAAGAAGGAGAGATAAAGAGATAAAATTATATGACATTGAAAAGAGTACCAAGAAAAAAGAGAAATAAGGGGGAACAAACTGGTTTGTGACTTTGTGTTTCTGAGTTTACGAACAGCTCATTACAGTTACACAAGCTCTATGAACAAGGGCGATGGTGTTAGTATTACACCACTACATACAGTTTTGTGCAATTATAACATAACGAGCTGGGTACCACGTTCGATGAACGGACTCAAAAGAATCGATCGCCAAGTCATTGTGGAACCAGTATGCACTGTTCGTGAACGAAAGCCTCACTTGTTTACTATGGCGTCTAAGAAGACGAACTTTCTATAAACAAAACTAATGAAAAACTTTAAATTAAACTACATTGACTTCAGACTCCATAATATTATAACTGAGCACTCTTTAAATGATTCTGAACCACCGTTAATTTGGTCAAATTCGAAAGTTCAGTCGTTGGGAAAGTATTGCGCGACAATGCGTGATAGTGTCAAACGGAAGTACGACTTGAAATAAACATCCTGGTGGATTTTTATAAATTACAGAGACAGAAGCGTCGGCCTACAAAAGCGATCGCCGAAATAAAGAAATTTAGCTTTTTCAGCAAAACTGTCTAAAAACTGTAAAAAACGAAGGGCGTCTTGATCTGGAGAATATTTTAAAGAATCTTTTGGCGAAAACTGCATGTCAATCGATGCAGCCATTAAAAAGCATTTTGAATAGCAAAATTCGGCTACCACAAATAGATAATAGATTTGCTTCTTCCTAAAGTTTTGCAATAGAATTTATTTCAAATTTGAAATTTGCTTTAGACATTTTAGTGAAGCGTGTTGACAAAATGAGTTACTTCTCGGATTCAATCCTTTAGGAAATAGATACATCACGCATAAGGTGAAGTTTTTACAAATTATTAGTATGAAAAAATAAAAGAAAGGTTGTAAGTAAAGAATATGACATTAAAAGAAAATCTACAAAATTGTCCCTAATCTTGATTTTTGGCCCCTATCTTCATTTGTGGATAGCAAGAAGTAACTCTTTTTGTCAGCACGGCTCACTTTTAATTTTTTTTTTTAGTATTTAATAGGTGTCTTTTTTAATGTTGCTATTTTCCAGCCCCCATGAAAAATTACAGTGGCGTCGGTAGTCTAGTGGTTAGACTACCGGACTCGTAATCGTGAGATTGCGAGTTCAGGGGTTCGAGCCTCAGCTGGGTCCGACGTTGTGTCCTTGGGAAAGGCACTTTACACGAACTTCCCACTTGGCTCGGTCCTATCGGAGACGGACGTTAAACTAGTAGGTCCCGCCCCTTAAATAACCCAATAGTGTTGATAGGGGCGTTAAACCTATACCATTTCATTTTAAAAATGACCCAATTTGGATAGTTTAGGAGGTGGAATGTTGGTCAGGACCAATCACGGGCTAAAAGGAGGAATACAACGTCCTAGCAGAAAGATTGGGATACTCGATCAAGTTTGGCACATATACCCCCCCCCCCCCCCCCCGGGGGGCAGTGCCACTGACTGAAGTGTCTTCAGGCCATTCCCAAAGGGGGGACATATCTCGTTCAAGCACAGTAGAATTGTAAATGGGCTGACTCCAGTCACGCTCATAACTGTGCCTGATCTACAACAGGGAACAGCTGCTTTTTCTTTCCTGATCATTACTATTGTCATTTTCCTCTACTTCTTTTGGATGTTTGTCACTCCCTTGTGACCTGCTATTTTTGGGTGCCTTGATAGTCGAAGCAGACCTTGTGCTGTTGAAACTAGAGAGGTGAGCAGTCTAAGTCTGATTCCCTTTAAAGACTTCTCTGTTGACACACACCCCTTGGGGCTCATATGACCTTATGCAGTTGCGAGCGCCGTAAAACCCTCTACTATATAAAAATATAAAGAGCCCAGATTTGTCTCGTGGCTAGGCAACAATGCTCGACTGTCACACTACAGACACAGGAAATAGTGTTTTTAAATTTCTAAAAGAGATCTTTATTTCTGGTCAGATACAATACCGTACGGTACAAACAGTTGCAGTATTTCCTCGTGATGCCCCCTTAAACAAAAGAAAACAAATTTTAAAAATAAAGCAACTTAAACTAAAAATAAAATCAAAACATATCAAAACAGTACAAAACAAAACAAAAGACCCCCCCCCCTCCCCCCATAAAAAAATGAAATTCAAGCTCAAAGAAAGACGAAATTTGAATTATTCTGAAGTCAAACGACAGGTCACTTTAAATTATATACTTTGTACTCAGTTCAAATAACGGTGAAAATAAGGGCGTCTGTGACACAGCGTTCAGGTGCTTCGCTATTGCTTGCGGGAGACCCTAGTTGGGTTGGGGGGCTCTCGTGGCCTAGAAGGTAAGGTGTTCGCCTCTCATTCAAAGGTCCCGGGTTCGACTCAGGGTAGCGAAGGAAAAATGTTCTTCTCTATAATTATTTATTGTCTCCTTTCACCCTCTTTCCTGCTCTCTAGCACTGTTCTGTCGTCTGATTTCGCCTCCACTTTCTGCCCCCACCCCTTCACCTCCTTTGCCCCCTCCTCTGGGCTTCTGACTCTTTCTGCAGCCTTTCTACTGCTACTCCGTGGCTCCTCCTAACTGCTGTCTTTCAGCCCCACCCCTGATCTTCTGGTAGGAAAGATTTACACCTAGCCTTCTCGGACAAGGGCGAAAAATCTCTTAGGAGGTTTCGTGTGCTAGTGGTGCACGTTAAAAGATCCCTTCGTGGTCTAAAATCGATAAGAGTAGGCTTCGGCCGCCACCCGGGAAAAATTCAAAATTTCCTACCAACTGAAAAATATTAGGTGTGTCCCGCGCGCTCATGTGACTTTATGCAGTTGCGAGTGCCGTAAAAACACTTACTAAAACAAACAAAAGACTTTAAACTGCATTTCCGTCCCGCAAAAAACAACAACAACAACACCAATATATATATATAGAAACGTGTACGAAATACCATCTGGTAAAAAAAACCAGCAGCAACAAACACACAAAAAAAGAAAAGAAAAAAATATGCCTTCAAAACGTAAAAAAAGCAACCCAAACCAATTTAACAAAACGAAACAAAACACACATTTCCAGCTTGACCAGACAATTCAATGCTTAACTAACAACAACAACAACATCAACCACCACCACCACAACCAACAACAACAACAACAACAACCACTACCACCATCACAACAACAATAACAACAACAACCACCATCCTCCCATCCAGTCTCCCTATCGTCTGTGAGCCTACAATGGAACCACAGCTGTCAGCACCATCATCACAACAACAACAACAACAACTACAACAACCACCACCACCACCACCACCACAACAACAACAACAACAACAACAACAACAACAACAACAACAACAACAACAACAACCATCCTCCCACCACCTCAACAACAAGAACAACAACAACAACAACAACCAACAACAACAACAACAACAACATCTACTACAACAACCACCACAGGTCTCCCTGTCGTCTGTGACCCTACGATAGAACCACGGCTGTCACAATCACCACCACAACAACAACAACAACAACAACAACAACAACAACAACCACAACAACAACCACAACAATAACAACCACCACCACCACCACACCATCCTCCATTCAAGTCTCCCTGTCGTCTATGACCCTACGATAGAACCACGACTGTCATCACCACCACCACAACAACAACAACAACCACAACAACAACTACAACAACCACCACCACCACCACAACCATCACAACAACAACCACCATCCTCCATTCAAGTCTCCCTGTCGTCTGAGACCCTACCATAGAACCACGGCTGTCATCAGCCTGTCTAAACACAGGGCCCCGCTTGTCTGGACGTTTGTGTGTTTGCGCTGTTGTTTGTCTGCGTGTTGTCCAGTTTGATGATCGCCCAGGAACAAACCGACTGGCATGTTTGGAATTCATCCCGAGACTTGCTTGTCAAATGTGTCTTCAAACGAGGCAGTGGAAACAAAAGTGGTCACTGTTGCGAATAGTGAGAGTGGAGAGTTCAGGACTGCGGAGTGTGGGGGCGGTTTTTACAGGGTGAATGGTGCATCGTGGGAGAGGGAGAGGTGGGCGTGTGTGTGTGTGGGGGGGAGGGGGGGTTGAGTGGGAGAGTGAGAATGAGAGATAGAGATAGAGAGAGAGAGAGTGAGATAGTTTATTTGTTTTTTGTGTTGTTTTTTGTTGTTGTTGTTTTTTTTTTTACAGCGCTCACAACTGCAAAAGGCCATATGAGCGCGAGGGACACATTAGATCTAAATATTTTCAGTTGGTAGGAAATTTTGAATCTTGCCCGCGTGGTGGCCGAAGCCCACTATTATCGATTTTAGACCTCCAAGGGGTCTTTAACGTGCACAACTTGCACACGGGACCTCCGAGATTTTCGCCCTTTTCCGAGAAGGCTAGGTGTAGATCTTTCCTACCATAAGGTCAGCGGTTTGACTGAAAGACAGCAGTAAGAAGGAGCCAAGGAGTAGCAGTAGAAAGGCTGCAGAAAGAGTGAGGAGCCCACAGGAGGGGGCAAAGGAGGTGAGGGGGAGGGGGGGGGGGGCAGAAAGTGGAGATGAAAGCAGACAGCAGAATAGAATGAGAGAAGGAAATAGGAGAGAAAAGAGAACTTTGCAGACAGAGATGTTATTTTACGTTTTCATTAACCACATCGTATGCTCACAACAACAAAAAATACATGTAATTTGATTAAAAAGAAGATATCAGGTTTCTTTGGTTTTCACGCGCATGTCGTAGTAGTTAGAAACGTTCACTCAGCAAGTACCCTGTAAAGTGCGCCTTCTCGTCCATGAGTTCGCCAGACAGGAGGGAGTCACGTCTGTCCAGTCTGTGCCAGGTTGACGCGGCACATTCACTGCACACAAGGGGACGTAACTCTGCAGGACAGTTGTTTGACGGATCGATGTCAAGATCACTATTTGGTTTTCTTCTGGGGTCGCTTAATCGCTAGAATAAAAGAGAACAAAGTAGGCTGTCTGAGAACTTCCCTTTGTTCAATTTTAACAAAGACATTGATTAATCTGCAACTTTTGTATATAAATAGCTTGTAGACTCATAACTTCCTTTTTGTTTGAAATATATTTATGTTCATATGTGGCGTCGGTGGCCCAGTGGTTAGGCTCTCGGACTCGCAACAGTAAGGTCGTGGGTTCGAATCCCGTCAAGGGTCCGACGTTGTGTCATTGGGAAAGGCACTTTACACGAATTTTCCTCACTTCACCCAGGTGGGAATGTGTACCCGGCTATAGACAGCGAAAGATCTTGTCAGTTTGTTAGTGTTTGAGCGCTTAATCGGCTGCTCGCACTGTATGCTTCCCGGGAAGCTGAGAATGTTACGGAGTGTTCTATGGTCTGCTGGGGTAATAATATAGTGTAAAGTGCATAGAGCCTGCTGCTGAGCGGGGATGTGCGCTATACAAATGCTATCTATTATTATTATTTTCATATAACAGTATACCGTGGATAGGGCGAGCACAAAAGACTCGAAATCACGCATCCGTTGAACTGTGCTTGTCGCCCCGTTTTTTAAAATTCTTTATCTTTGTAAGACATCCCTCGAACTACCGAGGCCGATCCTGACGAATTCGAGCTGTCCGTGTTAAGCAGTATTATATTATATAATCTACCAAAATTCGAACAAAAATGACGGTATAGGTCTTCAAGCTCTTAAATTCAATATCCTCACGATTTATATTTCTAATCATTCTAACACTTTTGAAGACAAGATTAAGAATTGACAAAAGCAGGTTCACATTCCAAACACTGTTGAACTTGTCTAAGATAAGACGGCCACCCAGTGTCAAAAAGAGACATGGTCATCTTAAATAGGTGGTAGACCTCTTTAACAGTTTCATTATTATTTTTTGTTTAAGTAAGGTTTTACAGCGCTCGCATCTGCATAAGAAGGTCTTTTGAGCGCCAAGCCAAGGGGTGGATGTCAACAGAGAAGTCCAAACGCGGAATCAGGCTTACTCTGCTGACCCCTTTAGCCTCAACAGCACAAAGTCTGCTTCGACTCTCAAGGCACCCTGGAAATACCGGGTCACAAGAGAGTGACAAAATGTACAAAAGAAGTAGGGGGAAATGTCAGTAGTAAGGATGACGAAAGAAAAAGCAGTAATTCCCCCTGTTTTGTTTCGGCATAGTATGAGCATGACATTGATAAATCCGTCCATTTACAATTCTACTGTGCATAAGAACAGGCTCGTATCCCCCTTTGTGAATGGCCTAAAGACAAATTCAGTCTGTAGCTCTACCCGGGGGGTGGGGGTTGGGGGATTTCTTTATTATAATGTAGAAAAAAAACCCGCAGTGGATGAAGTGGTTGGGCGTGAGCGAAGAAACCTCATCAAAATTTAATAACAGATTAAGGAACGTCATCCCTTTGAAATTGCAGGTTGTTAAACCACTATAGTAATTCACTCTATAGTCTGCCAGCTCAACACCAGAGCACAGTCAACGGTGGCATGGCTAGGAAAAAAAAGCAACAAAAACATGAATTGAATCAGATACGAAAACGTGTACATCGAATCATCAGGCGTCATCTCATTCCGGATTGAACAGGACTACTTACTTGTTTACTTGATGGTAGAACAGTCAGTTACATCCTTGTCAAACGTGAACACAGAAGCTGCTCATGAATCCGTCACAATAGTCTACATCAGATTGTATACAGTAGAACACGGATAGGTCGAACACAGAACACTCGAAATCACACATCCGTCCAACTGAGCCGGCGGTCCTGTTTTTCTTCTTCTTTATCTTTGTAAGATATCCCTGGAACTGCGGATCCCTCCAGCTACCAAGGCCGGTCCTGACGAATTCTCGCTATCCGTGTTCTACTGTATATCATCTTTTGGGTCTCCATGAAAAAACTCATTATCGCCTCCTCAAAGGGTTGGAAACCAGTTAAACTGAAATTAATCTGTCTTTACTTTCTTGCTTTCTATTATTCAAGACCGTAAATGTCGGAGTCCTTCCACTGTGGGGGGCATCAGCTGTTTCGGAGGCTGTCTTCAAAGAATCAACAATTATTGTTGAACACCTTAGGGAAATCATTCTGAAAGTGTAATCTCATGCGAGCGAACCCAACTGGATAAAAAGATAACGTTATGGATTTGTACCGATTTTCGTCGTTTCTTCATCTCTTTGAAAGCTGTCTTACGATGGATCATAATATTGGATAATCTACTGTGTCTACATTCTACATTAAACCTAAACTATCAAATCATTACATTATAATAATATATATAACACATTCTAATGAATTCTATAACCTAAGAACCTAAGCTATACCTCTACACCTAAAATGGAAACCAAAGATCAACAAACTAGCACAGATGAAAACACACGATCACACCCTTTCTTTGAGCAGTATCGAACCCTGTAAAGAAATCTTGAAAGTATTTCACGCCAGTTGTCGTCCAGTCTAAAAAGAGGAAGTGAATCTTGCTTCAGAATCCAGTCCCAGCTGTGCATACCTCTAACGTGTGGAAACACTTCGTCTCCTTTCCTGTTTTACTCAAAGATTTTTCCGAAAACCTCTCCTCTAAGCATCAACAACGTTCACTCACGCCTGCTCTACTCGAGAGAACCTCTCACAATGATGTAACTGAATCGATCGTGGCAATTAAAAATAAAACATCAACACAAAACAACAAACAAAAACAAAAACAAAACAAAACGTTTAACTGAAACCCCCGTCTCAAACGGAGTCCAAATCTCTCTCGTCGATCTTGGCTCCTTTCCCATCGGTCTGTGTGTGTTTGTTTGTGCTGGTCTGATTATTTGTCGGTCTGTCTATCGCTATAGCCCATTTTCTGTACATTATTATAGTATTGTGTCCCTCACCTTCCTCTTTCTCTCTCTCTCTCTCTCTCTCTCTCTCTCTCTCTCTCTCTCC